CGGTTGTGAGATCGATTTTAACCCCATATCCAGTCGAGGCTGCCGAGAAGACCAGGTACGGTTCCTCGGTCCCGTGTTGTCTGCCGATTGGTGCGGTTGTAGTAGCGAAAATGTTGTGGTGGCTGGCGCGGGAGGGGTACGGAGAGGAGCACCGGGACCGTCGCTCAAAAGAAGAGGATGGCAGTATAATGCTTTGTTTGTGTGACCACATGGCGTTTGGGGGTCACTTTAGAATTCGTCTGGCTCCTTTACACGTGGACTAGACTTCGGGCTACGCTCGGGTACCATTTGCCGTGTCGTCTTCAGGATACATGTATCCAACCTCAATTATGCCTTTTTCCACTCTTTTGGAAGCCTCGAGACGCCACAGTATTATGTTTGTCCTAGTAACAAGAACAAGTTCGATGGCAATCTCGTATTGATTAAAACATTACTTACAATTAGCTTGGTACCTTCTTATCTTGGCCTTGAAAATAATGAAAAGCAGTTTATATTTAATTTTTTAACCTTGAAACTAACGTTTTAAGTTTGTGGAACGTTTTCTTTATACTCTCTCGTTTTACTATATCGAAATTGCTTCGCCTTTGAACCGAGGTTGTGTACAAATGTCACTTTGATTGGGCTATTCTTCGCTTGTGGGTGCGCTCGCGGCAGTCACATCTTGAGGATGGAAGTTGACGAAATTAGTGAAAAAAAGGACGGTAACGTCCTGATGGGTGATAATGAACTTGAGCTCGAGGAATCGAATTTAGAAAAGCCTAGGGACAGGTATGTTCAATCTTTCCTCATTTAGCAGGTGTCGATTTGTCTATTGTATTTTCTTTTTCATCGGAATTGGAACTCTGTTGCCTTGGAATTTTTTTATAACAGCTACTCAGGTAATGTTCTTGCACACCTTATTCTCAAGTATTTTCAATACCAATTTCGGAATAGAAGCTTGCCAGAAGGCGCTGACCCCCTTTCGCCGATGCATAGAACCGAGCTGCAGAAGGTGTTTTCTAATTACTTGACAATCGCATCTTTGGTTCCAACAACGTTAGCGAATTTCGCAAACTTATTAATAAAAGATTGGTATGTTCTTTGTAACTTACTTATTAGTTAAGTCTTCCGGTCTTTTTCCGTTTGATTACATCTGGAGTTGTTATGCTCTGCATGTTCATCATAACAACCACTTTAACGAAAGTCGAAACAGGTAATTTGTTTGCGATTACCTTATGCTTTTAGAGACAAATGTTTTCTTCATCATTACGCTTGTTACGGTTGTTTTTAATAATAGTAAGTCCTTGGTTTTAGTAGTTTGAACTTGTAGTTGGGAGTGCAATTAACCAGGGGAGTACATATGGTTTATTTCCGGCGTTACCAGGGCGTAATTCACGTGGCTTTCTTGAGGGACAGGTTGGTGATTTTCGATATGTTCTGCATCGATTTCCCCAAAAGTACGATCTTACTTTTAACTTTCTTTTAGGCCGTTGCAGGTATCATAGCATCTGTGGCGAACTTGATTACAATCGCGCTGGCAAGCAGCCCTCTTGACGTTGGATTCGCGTATTTTCTTATCGGTGTTTGTATTATTGCCCTTAACATTGGCCTTTTTGTACTACTTTTCCGAAATGTGCGTGGTCGTTCCGCTGAGTGCTTCGTTTATTTAGTGATTTATTGGTTTATGGTTTTCCGTCTAACTTTTAGGCCTACTTTCTTTACTACTGGGAAAGCAAAGGTTTGTTGCTGTTGTTGTCATTGTTGTTGATAGGACTGCTTAAGTCTTTCTCGCTTTAACATCGAAAATTTTGTCTCAAGGAACCAAACAAGTGGATGACACCTCGTTCAGTGCGAAACTCAAGAGCACCGCTGCAAATCTGTGGCACGCCATGTGGGAGGTGAGATGGACTGGCTTCACTCTACTTTTTACTCTCACCGTCACGCTAGCCCTCTTTCCTAGCGTGTATGTTTTACTGGTTCCTAACAACTTCGACGAAAACAGCCGATGGCATAGTGAGTAGTTTTTCCCTATTCTCGACAGTACGAGGTTCTTACTAACATTAACCCTACGCTTTTTAGCAAAATACTTCCACGCCGTTCTTGTCTTTCTCTGCTTTAATATCTTCGACTATGTGGGACGCGTTTGCGTCGGCTGGATTAAATGGGTATGTTCGACCGAATCTACGTATTTGCAATGAGATGCTATGGAGTTCAATCCATATTGAGTTCACATGTACTAACGCGTGATTTTCTTTGCAATCGCTTACGGGATTTAACCTAAAATATGCTTTTTTAGCCAAGATTTGAACAAAAGAAGCTCTTTTTGTCCTTTGCGATTCTTCGCGTGATCCTGGTTCCCTTGTCAATGCTGTGTAACATTAATTCACAGCGAATTCCCACAGTTTTTTATCACGACTCTATTCCAACTATCCTAATCGCTCTGCTTGGCCTTACGAACGGTTATATCATCTCCTTGAGCGTCAATTATGCACCAAGGTATGTGTTATGGCTTCTTTTCGTCGCATTTTGTAGAACACTGGTCCTATTTTTTTTAGCTAACTTGGGTCTGTTGTGTTTTGTTATTAAACCTTTACTGTCCTTAGTGATCTATTTCGATATTTGAACAGTAGGTAACAAAGGAACGAGGTAAGAAACACAATTCATACGCAGTAAAAGTTGGAGTGTAGATTAAATCTTTGAGAACGCTAAGTGGGACAGAGTTGTAGCAATGTGCAATATTTACTACCAGCAGCTTCGTTTATATATCCACATCGGGATCCCGTGTCTGAAACCCAGTGCGCGAGGAAGCGGTAGAATTCGCTCGTCTGTATTTCGTTTACGTGGAAATTGGGGACGCGGCATAAGTGTTTATGTTTCCCTTTTATAGATATGCCTCGCCGGGAAATGAAGAGGGTTGTGGAATTGCGACCTCAGCATACCTCTCGCTGGGACTGTGTATCGGCGTGTTTTTGTCCTATGGACTTGTAGCTCTAGTCTAGACTTTTCCACCATCCCCTTTGTCACTATCCGTTCTGTCTACATTTACACGGCACATCATTAATGCGAGGCATGACATCCGCGCCCTCTCCAACAATCGGTTTACATTCGGCGTCTCTGCCTTGTGTCTCTCGTCACCTGCTCCGTGGCTATTTTGATCAGTGAATTTTACTAATATCTTAATGAGCATCAACAAACCTCATTTTTTACGAAACACACATTTGGCGATGCTGACCCATCCGTTTTTGGGATAGAAAGTCGGGACGATATCGGTAATCAATGCTTGCAGTTTCATGGTCAAAGCTTGGCTATAAGCCGAGGCGTTGAATTAGGGAGGGTGCGGACGTGCGTCTTTGTCCGTAAATGAGTGCGGCTGGCTAACCTTCATTCCTCACCCAGGCGATGAAAACGGTAGCGCTTGTGTCTAACACGACCACAGCGCTTACATAGTCGGGTGACTGGGCCAATGGGACGTAAAGCAAAATGTCTGCGAAGAAACCTCGGCGCATTCGTCATCGTACTGCGTGTCAGAGGCGAGGGAATAAGTAGAACAAGTTTGCAATTGATTTCCTCTGCATGTAAATGAAAGTGAGAGGGCAAGCTGGGTCAGATTACTCATTAATTTGTTCGTTAAAGCTGTCACAGGACGATTGAGAGGGCTGGAGCTTGTGGGTCCGCTGGTCCTCTTAGGATAGGGGCCTGCTTTGCATCTCACCAACTTCTAGGTGCCAATCGAACGTAGTCGGACTGTGACTTCTCTCAGAAGAATGTCCTTTTTTAACATTAAGTCATTTAAGTTTGCTTGCTGGGGTCTTCGACGGCATATCTAGTTGCTACGATCTATAACTTCCGACCATTAACGAGCTTTAAAATTGGATGCTTGTGGTTAAGAAATTAAAGTAGCTTTCATCCACCTCTAGACGATACCGTCGTTTCTAGGTCTGTGTAGGCATGAGACTAAAGGCCATTTGTTTGTTAACGGTCATGGAAGCTTGTTTCTCAAGGCTCATTCTTAGTTTGAACAATCGTTGTAAGCCGTGAGGGTAGTTGTAGTTTGCTTCGTTGAGTACATTTTATTTTGCCTGGATTACTAACCTTATTTTTCCGACCAACTTGCTGCTCTTGAGAAGAAATGTCTCGTAGAATGTGTTACTTTCCATACTCAACATAGAGCTTCCACGAGTCTTGTCTCCTTTGTGGACTAATTTCGAGCTCTAGTCGATTGGCAATGACCAAAATGAGCCGTTTTAGTGAACATTTGAGTGGATTATGACAACGATTTTGAGAGTGGATCACTGAGGGCTCGTTAATTAGTCTCCATCCCATGCCTGTAGCCGAAGGCTTTACTGCACGTCAACATTGAATACTCCGTTCAAGCACTGCATTTTGAGGGCATTCCTAAACCGATGTCAGCAACTCTTGAAACTGGATTTAAAGCAATTACAACCTCATCCTCGTTGACAGTGCAGCTTATTACCTCAGTGATCCTGTCATCGGCGTTCAAACATATCCACGCTAGAGCAGGAGTAAACAATCCCACAGTTCAATGTGAGCAACGTGGAAACCTTCCCTGACTTTGGATACTTCGCGCTTCCGGTAAGACCAAAATATTATCTTCGCCTCCCGAGAGAAGGAACTGACTGTTAGGTGAACACTGTGGCGCCCACGTTTTAGAGATATGAGTAAAGCCACAAATGCGAAAGTTGTTTGTGCATTCGCTAAGTTGATGTTTATCCGCATGAGTTTTAATGGACGAAAACATTAAGATGGGAATTGAAGGCTATTTAGAAGGTGGAGAATGGCGCCAAATTAATAACATTGAATCGACAATGGCATTGGTACATTTAGAGTACGCCTTTATGTGACATCAGCTAGGTGTGGACGGAACGAAGGAGAAAGAGAGGAATGTCTCATTATTCATCGGAAGTATTCGTGTTTAAATTTCAGTAATCGAATGCAAACTCAAGGTTTGATTCTTTTGGAAGCGAGAGATCTCTACATGATGTGGATCAAGCAAATGAAGGTCAGACAAGGAAATTGTGAAGGTATAAATGGAGGGGGTAGGTTTTTGGATGCACCTTCGGTGATGTTAGCAGCACTGCCTCTCTCGAGGTGTTAGCAGTCCATTCACCGGCAGAGCATAGTGCAGTCCTTTGTTTTCAGAGGAGCTCAGGGACGTGTAATGAAGTCTTGTACAGCAATTTTTGAAATCGCAGCCCAAGTCGTTCGTAGTTGCAGTGATTCAATAAAATCAGTCCTCCTCCTCCTCCTCCTCCTCCTCCTTCTGGTCTTGAAAAGTTACCCAACGCAACTGGTGGACCATCGATTAGAAAGTGTGTTCCAATGGAGACGTATTCTCATCATCTATTCCATGAGAGCTGACAACACTTACTTCTTCCCCTTTGTCGAACAATTCGAGTAATCAACCATTAAGTCCTTCCTGAAATAACAATGCGGGATGAGGAGTATGCGCCTCCTGTACTCCTTTTCTTCCCCCAGTCTCTAAGTCCCATCCGCTGCAGTAATGTTTAGGATGCTACCCGTCTTACAAATATGCTTTCTTTTCCATCCTCTTTAGCACTTCTTATTTCAAATGTTTGAGCTAATTGTCTTACTACAGTATTTGATCTTTACTACTGCCTCTGACGTCATTGGCGCAACTGTTGCCCTTTATTAAAAGAGGGACGAAGGTGTGCAGTAAATACATGTGAATATTAGTGGAGACTAAAACAGATCCAATGGTGCGATAGCTATTTGTGGTAAAGAATAAAGGCGTCTGTAAGTGGAGCTGGCAACTTGATTCCTTCTCACGCAGTGCGTACCTGAAGTTATCAACCAAATTGAGTCACGAAGTTGTTGGTAGTGAAAGCCACTCACCTCCAGTTGACACTAGGCGAGGACTACATAAAGTCAAATATAGAGACTGAACAATGACACTAGCGCCTCAGCACTTTCCACTAGGTAGGAATTAGGCTTTAGTACGACTCAAAGGCCAGTCCACGCGCACATGTGCCAGACGAATAACAAAGTAACCGCCGGATCTACAGGTAGTCACACACGATTCACCTTCCTGTTCGTCGAGGTGCTCACACCTTCTCATGCGCACTATCAGCCTCCGCTCTGTACTGCTTCAGATTAGAGTCCAAAAAGAAGAAACAATGAAACGTTAAGGATATTTGGAACCACCTCTGACTTGCTCCACCAAACCCTCCATATTTATTGTCGGTCTGGGGGGTAGCAGTTCGCCCTAATTAAATTGGCCAGTGGGGCATAGTGACAAGATTACGGTAGATTAACAATCCAGGCATTGGTTACGCCCAGAGTGGCCATTGGTGTCCGTATTTGGGCTGTGTGTCGCAGCTGTGTTCCTCCCGCCTACCACCTGGTCGTCATCATTGAATTTGACAGTTTCTCTAACGAGAGATGTCGGCCCGGCCATTTGCTACTACCGTGAAGTACTGAACGCAGCTCGCTTACCATATATACTTGTTTCTATCACTGCCCTATCAGACTGACTACTTGCAGGACCAAATACGACAAATTGAAAAAAAACGAATTTGTGTGACACTTGTTTCCCTTCCCGAGTTCGTGCTCTCACTTTGCCTTGCGTTTAGGCAGTTGAGCTTCCATTGCCATTAAACCGATCTTCCCAGTAAACTCATACATTGGCTTCCCAAAGGTACCGCTTTTCTCTTGGTATTTCCATGCAATAGCTTTGTAACCCTCTTTCTTTCTTAAAGAATATTTCTCTCTTAGGCTTGTCATTGCCAACTGTCGACTGGTCTAAGTTGAACAGCTTGTTTGTAGCCTTCCACATGTAGCTCTGAAAGAACATATTAACAGTCATTACTGCGCCGCTTTAGCTTTTTTTTTACAAACAGAATTCTGTCTCATTTTACTCTGCACTGCTTCTTCCAGCCTTTCGGAAAGCAATTTTTGTTTACGGACTCCGACAATGTGAGTGCTTAGGCTACTGCTTGTTGAGTATAACACTTCTTAGGCGACAATCGTTACCAAAGATCTCTTCTGACTAAGCCCTCCTCAAATTCTGCTCTAACTAGATTTTACTCCTCCACCATACCCCAGTAATTTTGAGGTTTGTTGAACTACCGATAAACTTTAATTCAGCCAGCAGTAGTTAAAGTGCGGATCTCACTTAAAAACCATCTTATTTGTTTTAGCATAGTAAATAGAGAAGGTAGTAAACCAAGCCTTTTAGACAAGGCATATTTCGATGACGTAATGGAAACCCTCCATTGAATGCGACACACTTTTATCGCCACCAATAGATCAGCACGCTACAATGGTGTGAAGGAGCAGTGCGATGCCAACGGGATGGTTTATAATGACTCTTTTGAACTCACGCTTATCTCGAGTGGATATTTCTCAGTTGAATTCAGAACCTAATGCATTAATGCGGCTGAAGGGGTGAATGCTCATATGTACTCAAACGTTTCTAATAATCGTATTTACACACTACCAACAAATGCTGTTGCTCTATTTACATAGCCTCACTTCACTGATGCGAGGACACCAGCAGAGAATGCCTAGGATGCCGCGAAAGTTTCCTTTGCCTCGGCTTAATTACACAACTGTTTGGAGGGGAATTAGTAGAACATCTACATGGATGCGTGTATACGCTCTGACAAGGGGAACAGACCAGGCCCCTATCGTGCATCCACTCCGTGAATTGCTCGTCACAGTGTGGGCGTGCGCATGTGCGCACGTGAGGGCTGCCGATCGCAAGACCAACGCACCCCACTCCCCACTTTTCAGCCCATCACGCGTGGGAAGGGCTGACGCGCTTTTGCGGGCAATTATCGATTGCTTATGTGGGCGCCAAATTTGATTGGCAAAAGGTGCACATCAGACGGTTCGCCTGCTTCCAAGGGTTGGCGAGACTTCTGCTTGGCATTTCAACAAGCAGTAAGCGGCGAAAGCTAGTTTTACACAGCATGACCGTCAAAATTGACAGTGGGCTAGATAAAATGTCAATTAGCACCTGCCACTTGATGTTAACCTAGTCTCAACCATAACAAAATAGTGAAGCAGTTCTTTTACATAAAAAATATCTGTGGGAAATTCCGTCCTTCATTCTGATAAATCATGTTTTTCATTATAACTTTTACTTTCCATCCATCGACCACATCAACTTACGCCAAAATGATCAACTTGCAAAAGTGGTGCGGGCACTTTCTCCGATTGCGTAACAAGGATAGGTCCATAATGGAACACGAAGCTTTCGAAGATTTCACTGCAATTCAGAAGCCCTAAAAATCGAATTTCTTGGGTCAGCAACTTCGGCATGATTAGCATCACTTAACCTGATAGAAGTTTTAGAGAAAATTAGATTTCAAGGATGAAGAAGACCAGCCAAGAATGTACCAACACCGTCTTAATCATACAAGATATAGTCAACATTGTAGTGGTATCAAATTCCAATAACACAAACACTACTAACAATGCTTCGTTTGTGTGACAAACTGTATTTCTGACGGTTACTTTAGTATTTGTCTGGAATTTGTACGGGTAGGCTGGCCTTCGCGCCAAGCCAAAGCCCAACCTCTTTTCTCCTCCTAGAATAAATGTATTCAGCTCCACTCACTGCTTTCTTCGACCCCGTGGGAAGTCTCGGCACTCTACAGTATTTTTACTTTATATTTTTACGAAACCCGTATATTTAGCAATCGTAGAATTTACATCAAGTTCAAAGGAAAACACTCAACTCCATATAAGTAGACAGACACCGATTTCTTCTAAACTTACGTAATGTGGAATAATCTATCAATAATCATATTAAAATACCGTCCTGAATTTAGCGTTTATGCTGCAGGGCTACGAAACCCAAAGAATGAGAGAGAGCTGCGGAACACGGTGCAAAACAATGAACTACAAATGAGGTTTTGTACATTTGATGTTTTTTTAAAATCTTAGTCTCGATTCTGAGTACTGGATTGATAATCGATAGCGCCGTGAACCATCTGGAAAAGTTTCGTGTCGAAATTTCCTCTACAGAATCCGTGTGTAGGTGTCGGAAATGACACTACGGTTCTCCCTATATACGGAGTAGTGGGTTATTCCGTTTTTCCTGCAACATATCCCTTTAAGATCAGAGTTCCACCATCTAGTCCTGGAAGCAATTGATGACCAACAGATGTATGCGGCCTATAATCTGGCTGTTAGACCAAAACTAGCTCTAGATCCAGTTGAATCTGCAGAGGAGACCAAGTACGTTTCCTCAGCCTGGCGACTGGGGTGATTGGCTCGTGGGCTCGTGGGTCGTTCAAAAGAGAGTGGAAGTGTAAAGCTTTGTTTGTGTTAATATCTGGCGTTTGGAGGTCATCTTAAAATTTTTCTGGCCCTTGAGCTCGTGCGCTGGCGTTCGGGCCATGCTCAGGCCCATATGCTCTGTTCTCTTTGGAACAAATGTTTCCAGCCTCACATAATGCCTTCTTCTGCCGGTCAGGAAGTCTCAAGCAGCTACAAGACCGAGCGTAACTTCAGATCCAGTTGTAGTTACTGAGATGGCCAAGTGCAATTTTCCTAGTCGGCTGACTGGTGGATGTTTCCATGACCCAACAGATATTTTGTGATGGCTAACGCGGCAGGTAGAGCGTAGAGCGGGAGTGTAGAGGACGTGGATCGAGGGAAGAGAGGAGTAATGTAATACTTTGACAATGTGACCACCTTTATGTCTGACAGTTACTTTCTTAAGGGTCTTGCCCGTATACGCACAGGCTGGTCTTCGAGCCAAGACATGGCTTAATCCCTTATTTACTTGATGGAATGTTTCAAGATTTAGTAATAGTTGTAGCGATCCGAGGATTCTCACAGGGTGGAGGAAGGCAGTAAGTGAAACTGGAAACATGTATTCCAAAGAGAAGAGAGCAAATGAGCCTGAGCATTGCCCAAAGGCCAACCCAGGTGTACAAGAGCTGGACAAATTCTAAAGTGATCGCCAAACGTCAGGCAACCACATTAAAACTGCATTACATTAGCTGCAGCAAACTCCTCCTAGTAAATTGTACTAAGTGTATTAACCCAAAATATTTTCGAATGTTTTCTTATCATTGCTCAGTGACGCTAAGAGGCTTTTTTGTGAATAAAATTATGTCCATGATTTGGAAATTTAATAATGTATAAAATCTCCATAGTCTGCTTCCTCTCTATCTATGACTTTTTCTTTTGTTTGTTCTAATGTAATGGTTTCCCTTAAATTGTTGGACATAGCTCGTTATTCGTTTGGTTCGGATTGGGAATGCTTGTCCGGCGGAAAGGTCTCTCCGTTAGAGTTGGATGCTCTGGTCATTCAGACAATGAAGAAGTTAGGAAGGTGGGTTTTAGTCTTTTTTATTTTGCTTAGCATCCTATTAAGCACATTCATGATCAAGGAGTTCCTGTAGGAGTTGAAAATAAAGAAAATTGCGGCATTCCACTGAAAAAAGCACCTAAGCCTTCGTCTTTGGTTATTTACAAGGATACTGTTGTCTCAGTGTGTCAACATTGTGGGGCAAGTAGATCCAGTGTAACCCGTGAAAAGTCGAGTGTATCCACACAGACCAGTGAAATAACGTCAGATAATTTAAAGGAAATGCTTACTGCAGGTAGTGTGTAGGGGCTAGACACGTTTTTCCTAGAAACTCCCTCTGTTGATTACTGGATGGATTTAGCAGAACAGCGTCGCGAAGCTTTAGTTGAAACTTTGGCTGAGAACAAGGAAGTAGGTGTGATTTTATGATCCACGTCATTTAGCTATGCGGCATTGTGGATGCTTTGCAAACTGAGCTTACACGTCTGTCGAAGATTGAAGATTCTTTGCAAAGATTTATGAGTGACATTAAGGTGAGTAGTTGTTTCCTTTATCCTCTTGCTCCTTGGGAGGTCATTCTCTTGTGGTTAAGAAATAATGTCTAGTGGTTTTGTATTGCTTACCCGCTAAAAATTCCCATGTCAAAGAATGATGGTAATATTTGCCCTTTTAGGGACTGGATGTAGTATCTTCGGATGCGTCGCATTGAAAAGGTTCCTTTTCACCAATCCACCAGCGTTTTAAACTTTTATCGTGCGAGTATTGTGGTTACTATTTTCGCTTTTGTGTCTTGGGCCTTGTAAATACGATTTCTGTCTGATATTTGAAGCTGGTCTCATTGTAAATATTCACCTTTGCCAATTGTCGCTGCCTTCTGATCGTTTAATTACAATGGTTGTAGTGATTGGTATGAGGTTGTCAATTCGGTTCTGCGTAATTCCCCTTGAGGTTTGCGGTATTTTAAATGGGCAGCTTTGTTTTTGAGTCGGCACTCGCATTTATGTCTCCTTTGTGCGACATACCTCTGACCTCAGCGCTTTGGTTTTCTTCATTAGAGGGATTGAGTGCTAGTATGGTCGAGTTCGAGGTCGTCGTGGATCGATCGACTTTTGTAGGTTTCTTGTAGGATCAATCGGGATCCGCCGTCGTACTTGTCTACTTTAAGGGTTTTTGGTCTCACCATAGGAAAGGTCTTACTAGCCTCAGTTTTCTTACACGTTGGTGATGTCTGCTCACACTGGAATTCTCTAGGATGGTTGGCGTCGTGGTGTCCACGCGTCAGAGAGGAAAGTCGCGGGGTGAGGGGTGCTTGGCGTCCTGGTGGATTGCTACTGGCGGAACCGAAGTCAAGGTGTTCTACGGAGTCCCTAGCGTTGGTGCATATCAGGAAACATTATGGTGGCTTTTCGTTGCTGAGAATTAATGGAGTCCTCTTCCTTGACTTACGACAAGTAGGAAATGAATGCGATGAACTTTTATGGGTCAATCAGATGTCTGGTGGTTACTTTATGATTCATTTGGTCATTGTACGCGTGGGCTGGCCTTTGGGCCAAGGTTAGAACTGACCCCTTTGTTCTACCTGGAATACATATATTTAGCTGCACTTTCTGCCTTCTCAGGACACTAAATTGATGGCAGGGGAAAGCGAACCCGACATTTTTTTAGCGACTTCCATCCTAGTATGTGCCGTTTTTTTTGTATGTACCAACAACAGGGTTGAGAATGATGTCTGCGTTTGGCTTCCTCTTGTCTCCATGTTCCACGGACAAATTACCAACGACTTAAGCTACACCGTCATGAATTGGTGTCGGAAAAGATACTATAATTCTTCTTATGTATGGGACAGTGTCTGATCCTGTCTTTCCTGTAATACCTCTGTTTTTGGCCAGAGTTTAACCATCTTGTGCTGGAAGCAATTGATGACCAACAGATGTATGCGGTCTAGATCCTGGCTGTTGGATGAACGTAACTCCAGGTTCGGTTGAATGTGCAGGGGAGACCAAGTACCGTTCATCAGTCTATTGGCAGCTGTCGATTGGCTCGGCTGGTTCGTGAGTGCTACCTTGCAGCACCGAATATGTTTTGGTGGATGGCGTGGGAGGTATGCCAAAGGGAGGGTCGAGGACGTCGCATAAGGGAAGGGAGGGTCAGTGTAATACTTTTTTTGTGGCCACCTGACGTGTGACAGTTTACAATCCGTCTGACCCTTGTACACGTGGGCTGGTCTTTGGGCCAAGCTCAGATCTAACCCCTTTATTCTCCCTGGGATACATGTAATCAGCTCCATTTGCTGCCTTCTTCTACCCTGTGAGAAGTCTCGGGACGCTACAATGAATGTCCTTCTCAAACTTATTTTGGATCCTACAATGCTAGAAGATATTATCCTTCCAAGGCTTTCCTCAAGCTGGAAGAAGGCATTAAATCGGGATGAATGCTTGCATTCCAGACGAGGAAAAAGGGGTTGAGCCATGTCTTGGCTCGAAGACCAGCCTGTGCGTATACGGGCAAGACCCTTAAGAAAGTAACTGTCAGACATAAAGGTGGTCACATTGTCAAAGTATTACATTACTCCTCTCTTCCCTCGATCCACGTCCTCTACACTCCCGCTCTACGCTCTACCTGCCGCGTTAGCCATCACAAAATATCCGTTGGGTCATGGAAACATCCACCAGTCAGCCGACTAGGAAAATTGTACTTGGCCATCTCAGTAACTACAACTGGATCTGAGTTACGCTCGGTCTGACCGCAGAAATTGGGGCTTCCGAGACTTAATGTTTGGATGCGGGTCTTAAACATGTTTAACAAGGAAGGCTGGATCAATTACAGTCCCCTGTGTAAGGAGATCCAAAGCAGTGCCATTTTCGACATTCATGCGCGGATGTTATAAGGAGACCTCCGACACGAAACTTTTTCAGATGATTTACAAAGATGTCGCTTCGACTGTTAATAGCTTGTTGTGTGGGTGGAATCAGACAATGGCATTATTCTCAACGCCTGAGAGATCGTCACTTATGTATGCAATCAAGCAAACAAAGTGGCATGCATCTATTCGTAAACGCTAAGCAGATGCAGCCACTTTTATTCTCCTTTTTTTGCACTTCAGCTTGGTGATATTGCTTTCCGTCGGCATCCATAACCATCGAATGTCTGTGTGCTTCACTCCTAAAGTTTCACTTAAAAGGTACGGACTTTTGTGAATTCAATGTTCCCAAAGTCTAAAAATAATTCTCTTATCTTAGTTTTATCGCAAATGTAGCGCTCCAAGACTTCTTTTATGTCGAATAAGACATGAACTAGGGTTGAGCACTTTCATTCAGGTAGAAGGTCATGAGGTTAAGCGTTGCCTTAGCTCAAGGGCCAACCTACGCTGATGCAAGAGAGATGGATGTCATAGCCACCAAAATCAAGCAAGTAACCAAATAAGTTATTATAAATGTAGCGTCCCGTGACTTCCTGTCTCAGCGCGGCTGGATACATGTATTCCGAAGACGACAGAGCAAATTGGTATGGGCATGGCCCGAAGGCCAGCCCACTTGTATAAGGGCCAGATGTATCCCAAAGTGACTGCCAAACGTCAGGTAGTCATGTAAACAAAGCGTTACGACAACAACTGTAATATTTTGTTCTTTCCGTTACGGGTATCGGTAGTGGACTTTCGTGTGGGTATAATGATTTCCCATTAGGGTTAGACGTTTAACTCTGATTAAAGCCACACTTATTACGTTCTTGTCGGTGCATGCATGTGCGATAGCTTTAATGCTAGTAAGTAAGTTATGAGTCATTGTAGTATTTAGTACCGTTTACCCCATTTGTGGTCTCATTGCAAAATTGAAATTGAAGCATGTGAGTTCGAGCTGCGGTGAACAGAGAATACCACCGTTTAGTGCTAATTAGATGAATATTTCGCCCCTATTATATGTTTTTGTCCCCGTGTTGCCTTAATAGTCCGGCACTTTTGTTTTTAAAGAAAATATCTCGTGCTTCTTTGATCTCTGGGTCTTGATGCAACCCTTCAAGGAGCGCATTAAAAAATTGGTATCGAATTCGGTGAACCATTAAATGGACTCAGACATTGGGGTTTGTTGATAGTCCGGATTAGTTAGTTATGTTTTGTCTTTAACATCATTCACTTAATAATATGATTGGCCTTCGTATCGAGCGACTTTTAAGCCGACTGCGAACGATCTGTAAATGAGTTCCGATGGGACGGTTTCAGCGGAATTTGAATCTACAGAACATCACAACTCATTACAGGAGCGCCGCAGTGCTCCAAATTTCCCCATAAAAAGTTCTTCACAAGACTCTAGTAAGCGTATTAAGTTACAGGATAGATTTTTGGCAGAACAAGAATCGATTGTAACGAATCTACCGTCCTTTGACGACCCCTTTGTAAGTCTGACCTCCACTCCAAATATATCTAGCGTTTTATTTTTGTCGCACTGTGCATTACCGTGTACAGCCTGACACCCATTGCTGTTCTTTGATTTTTATTTGTTGCTTCACTTGGTCTATTTTTAGACATAGATTGCCAATTTTATGCCTTACTGTCTAAGTACTAATGAACACCTGTGTTACAAGGTATGAAACCTTGGTTTTCGGGCATCGATTACCACTGTTGGAGGGTGAACAAATGTATTTAGGTTTTCTTTTGCATTTTCCATTTACTCGGTTATTACGTGAACCATTAATTTGACTCAATCATTGGGAGTTATTCTAGATTGCTTAGAGAATAGCATCCATGTTTTGGGTTCTGTGATCGTTATGCCTTTGTTTAATGGGTTCAAACACTTATGCGCAATGAGTTCTGAATGAAGTGTTCTCACTCATCTCGTCTTTTTGTCATTTGACTATATTTCAAAGTCCAGTTAAACTCAAAAATACTCGTCTGAGTGTATCGCTTTGTTATCACGTTTGTTATAGCAGGATGTTGGAGCACAGTCTTCAATTAGCGAATTGGAGGATTGCGTGTTGCAATGCAAGCATATGTATCTCACTTCTAGGGACAAACCCCAGGATTTTCAAAAGTTTCTCCTCAAGCGACTTGTTGAATTGCGAAGACTTCTGCACATCGCAAAGGTATCGTATGTTCACTAAAGAATAATTAATTTGTATTCGTGCATCGAGGTATAGAGTTCAAATCATTGCCGATTTGCCTTCAGTACTACATCCACTCTCAAAGGCTTAAAATAACTCGTACTAACAGGATTGGAGACTTCGCAAGATCACTTTGTTCCGTTTTAATTTGCTCAATACCATACCATTTTTGTACAGGAAACATCTGTGTTGGATCCAATGTGCTACTTTAAGTCACTTCATCTACGAAATTATGTTGACGTTTTTTGTTGAATTGTGGTGCTTTTTTTCAACAAATACTCATGCACCGAACCTCTACCGTAGAATTTATTCTAAACTTAAGGGATATTTTAGAGAAATCCGACTCTTTGGTATGTCTAGGAACGCGAACCCGCCTCCATCTCCAAGCCAACTTCATCTTCAGCACCATTACTCACGACATCACCAGTAGCAGCAACTCATGGACATACATTTCGGGCTGTTCCATCCTTGCGGCTTTTGGGTACAGTATGCGATTCCTGCGTTCGCAGCGTTAAGTCACCGACGGGCAATGTGTTGTTGTGTCGTGACTGCTCTGTAACTTGTCACGACTCGTCATCATGTCTGCGTCGCCTTTTGCGTGTCTGTCCTGCTTCCTCCGACTCTACGACGCCCACCCTTGAGGTGGTCAAAGCTGCTCATCTCGATGCCAGTCTTTCGCGACAGGGTTGGCAGTGCTGGAGCTGCCATGCAACCCTCCGTGTCCCTCTGGATCCCTCTGACTCTGTGCCGTTGCCACTCCACAGTCTCAGCGCCGCATCTGCGCCGCCCTCTATTGAGCTGTTGTCAAGCGTACGGCAGATGGAACACGTACCTACGGCAACGGAGGTGCGGCTGCAACGTGCTACCACTGCACTTCAGGAAGTGGCAGGTCTCTTCTCACCCAAGTTAGGACCAGTACTCACCCCTGCCGACGTCCGTGTTGTTGCCGCTGATGCCTTCGCGAAGCGAGCAGCGATGACAGGGGGAAAGGGAGGTGAAGAGAGCGAGGCAAGTGTTGCTCGTTTTTGCTACTATTCAGGGAAATTCTTCTGCGCCAACTGCCATTGGGATGATCTGTGGTGCATACCGGGAAAAGTCTTTGCTCTTGGGATTACCTCTCCTTATCCGGTTGGTGCTGTTTCGTTCTTGCGTTCTGCTTAAAACACTTTCTGTTTACCGTTTTTTATTTCACAAACCTCAAACTGTCTGCTCATTTGTTAAGTTGACTTATAATTGTGGATTAATTAACAAAAGCAACTGAAACAGAAATAGCAGGGAGAACTTTTCTATATTATCGGACACAACTGCGATATTGAGCCTTCCATGGCGTTGCCGATGTTACTGAAGTACAGTTAAAACTGAAGCACATGATATCAATAATCGACTTGGCTTACTTTTCTGTCACCGTTTGGCGAGTGGTAGTACATTGTTGCGTATCTAGTTGTAGGAAATTGTTCTTGTTAAACGTGATTTTTTTTCACAACGAAGCCTTATATTGGAAGGAGGTATATCAAAGTTGGCATGTTACGGTCGATGCAATGTGTTTTATACTTTCAGGTCATTAGAGCGTTTTTTACCATTTTATCTCAAGGTCTCGCGCGATTCCCTCATTGCCCTCGAATACATGTGGCCACGCCAACAATTTCGTCCACCAGAACCTTGGCAACAATGGAATGCACAGGCTGTACTGATTGGGAGTCTTAGAATGCGAGCTCATCGCCTTCTTCCAACTTTCTTTCGCGTCTGTTGCAAGGCCTCTAGTCTCTTGCATAAATTTGAGGTAGGCAAAGCTAGTAATTGAATGTTTACTTTAAAAAATCAGTAACACTTATTTTATCTTCTCTACCTTTAGGAAAACCAGCCAGCATGGTTGTTTGAGCAGCCTTTCACGTACACTATGTGGACCGTAGAACGAGTGCTTGATGGATCATTGATTGAATTGCTGATGAAATTCCTGGCACAAGTTGAGGAACACGTGGAAACATGCGTGGTAATCTGAAACCTTGTCAGTAGTTTCGATTTTATTCCTCACCAAATCAGCTACAGCACAGTATTGTTGCAGGCTTGACCATGGCATTACCATTATCGCAAGTCATCAACCAGCCTTTATATCATTTATTTGTAACCCAGCCATTGTTTTCACTCACTTTAATTGTGAACTCTACTGCTTCAGAAATAAGACAATCTTGCCCCGTCTTCGATCCGTTACATTTGAATGTTTTAAAAATGCTCATCTTTTTTTGTTGAGCCACTGTTTGCTACCACCACCAGACCAAACTAATGCCCACTATTCTGAGCAGTACCTTGACGGATATTGAGTAGTCCATGCGAGCTCTGCTCGTGCGCGCTTTCCTCTCTAATCTGTTAATGTCTCTTGTTGCACTGGCATGCGGTATGGTGCCTTTACCCTTAATGCTCACACATCCACCCACTTCACCACGTGCGTGCTTGCACTATTCAAAAGAGCGTCTTGTGATGCGTCTTTCAATCTATTTTGACGCGTATTTCCCTTCGCATTAATTTCTTTTCAGTTTATTTCGTTTGTGGATTCAAGCTCTACCATTCGACGCGCTCTGTGTGGTAGATAGTGCAAATAAACTAACCTAATCGAGTGGCAATTATATTACTCGAAAAGAAGGCGGAACGTCCACTACCGAGATGTTGAGTTGAAACATCAGCGTTATCATCCGTAGGTTGGGATTTCACGAATTATTGCAGATTGGGGGTATTTCAAGAGCCTACGTGGAGATTGCATGCCAACGGTTTACGGTGCTGACTTCTTTTGCATGATTTTAGGTTTGCACGACGCTTGGTCAGTCGATTTGTTTGGTCTGCCGCAAGCCCTGTCCTCAACCACATCACCATTGCTCTGCCGTCTGCTCCGTCTGCCGCAATGTCGTCCACAGGTAGGTCCACCTAAGTCACCCTTTTGTTTACTACTTCATTTTGCCTAAATTTTCCCATAACCTCATATGAAATGCAGCATTGTGTAATGCATAATTGCGGATGGGGTGGGAGCATTAGCTTGACCCACACTGTAATAAACACAATCACCTTTCTCAAACTTCGGGAAGTGCGGTTTCTTGTCTGTTATTTATCGAATATGGCAGACGTCGTTCTGCTCCTTCTAATTATTCATTTTAGGCATTACACGGCATTGTCTTTGAAAATCAACTTTTGTGGTCTCTGAAGACTCTGGGTAAAATTTAACCCAATCACCCGATTATTTGAGCCAGCAAAATTCCCATCGGTTACAACATAATTCGCTGGTGCAAGGTCATTCGTCACGTCTTCTGTGTGTTATTACTTGTTGCTTCAATCACCAGGTTGATCTGTTTACCACTTTGGGGACACTTTGGTACTCGGGATATCATTGTTTCGTTAAAAGTATCCTCTATATTTTGCTTACCCTTAGTTGGTGATGGAAACGCCAAAATGTGTCAGGACACACCTCCTAACTCCAATCTCTGCGTGTTCTTGCGCTCACTCGTGCTTGTGCGTGTTTATATGTCGAGTCACGTGATTAGTGTCAAGTGATGCTGACAGCCCGATTCTTTCGCCTTCTGCACTCTGCGGGGTAGAAACGACTTCGGTGTAAACGAAAATGTGGGAAGAAAAAAGAATCGGCAGCATTGATTCTCACACAATTTTTAATTTGCAGTTTATGTGGTTTGTGTTTTTCCTAAACGAAGCCAATGATTGCAGGTGTCTCGAGTTTCGGTCTGTTTCACAATACATCTATGTAGGTGGGCACAGGTAATTCTTCAAAATCCAATTGTCGCATACCTGTATGCGTGTGTATACTGGAAAGTTTCTTTTCTCCTGCTTAACTTTCATCACTTCCCGCCTTCCCTCTCAGTAGCATTACAACAACAAAGAGGCTGGGTTTGAAGTCACTTTTAGGTGGAGGTTCAATCCTCCTACTTACAACTACGCACTGTCAGCATATTTATTTTTTTTGACCCCGTCATCACGTCATCCACCTACGATAACTAATTCCACCAAATTTTGTTGAGAAAATCACGTTAATCTGAGAGCAGGTTAGTTTCTCTCTCTTTTTCCTAAGCAAAATACAAATCGCCCGTTTAACAGAGGGCACCAATGCCATTGATGCTTTTCTACTTCATCCTTAAACATTGTCTATACACCTTGTTGATGCTCTATACTTGGCTCCCTTTTCTGCAGAAAGGCTTGATGTTGTGCTTTTTTCTCTGTTTGTCAAAGGTAGTTGACTTGCTTAATTATTTTGAAACAATTACAGAAATCGGCCTTTGAGAGGACGCATTCTATCAAAGGCTTATTGGTTGTCTTGTCAATAGCAATCAAACAGCACTAGAAGATACCTTCTTGAGATGAAAGACTTTTTATTGACATTTTTAAAGGCAATGATTACCCTTTCATGCTCTAAATTGCTTGGAGTGCATCCATACCACTTGACTCTTAGTTTCAACTCACGCTCAAAGTTCTCCCACTCCCTGTCTTCTTGAGTCTGAGTTGTCTTTCGCCGAATGTGTGAAAAAAAATGCACTAGTTTTGCGCATCCTGAGACTCAGTAGTTAATAGCACTATTGGTTTGTCATGGCTGCTCCAGTGGTCAGCTTTTTTATCTTTGAATGGGACAATATCGAGTCAGAGGATACGGTAATTCGACTTCTTGTCCGTTGGGTTGGCATGACTCAGCGGAGTAGATGAATCGTTCTTTATTGTAATAATTGGTCTCGACTTCATAAAAGCATCCATCAATTTCATTTGAGACGGTTTCAAAGCCTGAAACTTTTATTGAGGACCAATCCATCCACCGAAGAGGGATGTGCTTAGATCTCTCTGCGTTAGCTGTAGATCAGAGGTATTGCAAAGGAATGAAAGTACTTGATTAGTACTGCAGGGAAAATTGTATGGAATTCAGGCTGCAAAGCATAGTTCATTAATACGTCACTTAAGTTGAAGAGCCGAAATACGAATGTCTTCTGTTACCCAAAGTTCAGCGTTTTTTACTTTCATTTTCCATTTCGGAACAGTAATGAATTCATGGAGGCAACTCATTTTCATTTGCTAAAAAAACGCTCTCAAACTTGGTAATAATAATGGTTAGATCTTCGGACCCGAGTAGTCTCTTCCTACCAAAAGCTTACGTGTTGTAGCAGAACTTGGCGTCACAAATCACGAACGGATGTTATCTGGTTTTAACTCCTGCTGCAACAGTAATCCAACGCAATGCTCTCACTTATGGGACAAAAACGAAGGTTGTGGCATCCTTGTTACGGGTGGATTTTCAAAAACAACAATTATGGAGCACCTTGCAGACTGTGGTGGTTTATCTGTCGCATTATTTAAAAAAATGGTTCTCTTCAAGGTATTAGCCAGCTATCACTTGGAACTTCTTTATTTCCTGCACAACATCTCTTTGCTATTCCTTGCTACTATGCAATAAATGACCGCCTTTCTCCTTCGGACAAAGCATAGTTAACTCTCTCAAATGGGAGGTTGTACTTCTAGATTGAGACAACTTCTAACTGGTCCAAATATCGTTTCGCAGATCCTGTTTGGTGCCCCCTCTTAAGGCCGATTTTGATAATCTCCAGCCCATCCTGGAAACTCTCCAATCACAGCGTGACTGTCCGACCGCCCTGAGGATTGAGGACATCCTGGAGAGCCACTATCCCGCCATAAAATCCACTCGGTGCAAACTCTGCTGTGATTGAGTCTACTACTTGTAGTCGGCTTCACATACCCCTGTCCTAAAGCCTAACACACTGACGTGCTTTCTCATATTTTTTTAAATTCACCCTATTTGTCATTTAGATTTGAAAGAGACTATTTTCATTGCAGGCTGACTACTCCTTTTAGCGATAAACCTTTTTAAACAACGGGTCACACACAAAACAGGCGTGAAGTAATGACCACACTATGGTATCGAAAACCCGAAAACTGTCAGCAATTTCGGAGAATCAGGTTGCGCATCAATAGGATGGATGATGCGATCGGCCCTTGGCTTTCTATATGCATTAAAAGTTGAAATATGCAGCTGTATAGCATAGGCAGGTGGCTAAGGTTGCTGGTAAGTGATACCATCAGATATGACATCATTTGCTAATCTGTGGTGCTCAAAATTACACGTCAAACTAGATAGAGATGACCGATATCTGCATCTTTAATGGGCGCTGACGACTGAAAGCTGGTTCGTTGTCAACCGAGGAAGAGGGGTACCATTTTGACTTAGAGTTTTTTGCCTTCTACTAACCTCTACCATGAGACCGCCATTCTAGTTTGAGGGTTTCTGTTGCAAGCACGTTAATTAGCAAAGAGTTTGCAATATTCACAGCGAGCAGCCATTTTTCACTCCCTTGAAGAGTCCTTTCGACTGAGTTGCACCTGCTCTGGAGCACCAGTGGACAGGTTTTTGCTTGAACACCACTAGTTCTGCACATGAATCACAGTAGCTTTGGATGGTCTATCGGTCCAAATGCCCTTGTCGTCGTGGTTGACTTTCATCAGCTTTGAATCGATTGGTTTGAAGTCGCAGTGCGTAGGGAGTGCCACTGGTTGTCACCTTTGGTGGTTGAACTGGCCACGCAGTGGTTCGTTGTGAGATCGAGTGGATTGCAAATGTGGATAGCATGTCATCGCCTCTCATTCTCCCGCTCTTAAGTTGTTACTGTCATTAATCAAGCCCCAATCAAACGCGCGCACACTTACACACACACACACACACACACCTTCTGCACCATTGTTCCGTGCTCTACATGCAGCACAGGTGGTTAAAATCGGGAAATCACAATTGTGCGTAGTTGCGTAGTGCCTATTCGATTACCACAAAGGCGGTGTCACCTCCAAGGCATGCAGTTTGAGTGATGGAAGTGAGCACTGTGCTCTGTTAACTTGAAAGATGCCGCTGCTTGTCAGCACAGTACTTTCTCGTGCTCTCTGAAGCATGGGTTGTATCGTCGAAGGCGTTCATCCAGCAAATAGTGGCGCGGAATTGGGTCTGTGATTGCACCCTCGAGGACAGAATTATGGGAGTGGGAAGATGGCACACCGAAATTGATTGAAGCGGTAGCACTCTATGTTGAATGGGAAGTAGAGGTAATAACACGGTGCTACTCAGCACACATCACAGGTCAAGTCGATGAATTGGGGCTTGCAGTCGACTGCTCAATCGATGC